TACTTACTTATTGTTTATGTAAAGTAGTAATTCCATTGAATAGAGTTAAAATAGTGTTTTTACAATTAGGTAATAGGTACTAGTGATGTAACGAATGTTCGATTTTTCACATTCACGAATGCGAATATGCATCTCCAATATTCGCGATTCATGCGAATGCGAATGTTGACTTTCAAATAAAGCGAACGCAAAATGCTAAGCAGACAGGTTTGTTGTTTCGTGTCGGCCATGTTTAAACCGAACATACACCGATACAGATTGAATGAATGAAGTTAGTCACATATAGTTCATTCGAAATGATTTGTTGTGATTTGAGATTAGTTTAGTATTGTTGCCTTTGTCAAATTTAACACTTTCGGGCCAGCAACGTCTCATGACGGCAAAATTAGAAATTAAATAATTGACACAACGTTTAGTCACGTCTACTTTAAACGTGCATTTATTCGCCCTACGTTTCATAACGTCAGGAGTCAATATGATATTCTAATAAAGAGGTATTTGCGCCGCATCGTTTGGAAGTTTCAAAAGTCTACTGCCGCAACAAATCAACTTTTAGTGGCATTTTGCTAACATCCGTCACGCGCACATATGCTCACATACGCATACCCACAACGTCCGTACACGTCGCGGGGAGTAGCGACGCGGCTAGCTTCTGTCGTTCTGCGCCGCATCAAGAGGAGCGCGTGCTGCGCGAACGTCGCCAACCGTATTGAAGTGAACGATAAACCGTAAGATTTTTATAATATGTCTATTTTTAATAATAATTATAAATAAGTGTGTATATTTAAATGTATATTACATTTATTTTTGTATAATTATAATAATTAGTTGATATATTTTAATTTTGATATTGTTTTAGATGGATAAAAAGCGTGTCTACAGTAAGGGGTTTCTGAAGGTATTTGAAGATTCTTCGTCTTGGGAAGTTACTCCTGATCCTTTCAGTGATGATGGAGAGTACGATACTGACAAGGATTACGATCCAGAATCCATAAATACTGATAGCGACGTAATTCATCCACAGCAAGGGTACACAGTAATGGGGATAGAACTCCCCCTTGCGGACATCCTCTTGCTGTGGGTATATAGATAGCTGTATCGTGGAGGGCTAGTTTTGCTTTTCTGCTAGTGAGCATAGATTTCACCCACTTTACCGTTGTTTGGTCGACATTTTTAGTTATCAACCCATTTACAAACAGCGAAGTAGAAGAGTTATCAAAAGCACCTTCGATATCTAGAAATGCACATAGTGCTATTTCCTTGTCTTCTAACGCCTTTTCCACTTGGTCTATAAGACTTGTAAGGGCAGTCTCGGTTGATTTACCTTTACGATATGCATGTTGGTTAAAGTGGATTGGACTTTTAGTCAAGACTTCATCTCTTATATACCTATCCAGTACCTTCTCCATTGCTTTGAGTAAGAATGAAGAGAGGCTTATTGGTCTAAAAGACTTTGGCTGGCTATAGTCTTTTTTACCAGTTTTAGGTATAAATATGACCCTGACATGGGTCCATATATCTGGTACATATCCCCAGGCGAAGCTCGCTCTGAAGATTTATATATTCAGGTGGGGAAGGAGGATGTTCACCCCTTGCTGCAGTAAGATTGGTGGTATCCCGTCTTCCCATCTCGCCTTGTAGGGCTTAAAGGAGTCTACGGCCCACCGAACATGGTTGGGTCTTATGATCTTGGCAGCTTCGCACCAGTCCTCACTGCGAGGTCTAAGAAACTCACGCAATTACCGTTACAAAGATACAGATTCCGAAGAAATCAAAAAGTAAATGTCAACGTGATAGGACTTTGATAGTCGTTTTACATAAGCATAATTCACTTTCAGTAACGCAACGTCTATGAACGTCAACGTAACTAAACGTTGCTCTTAGGTTTCTATACCTTATATTGACTGTATGCGACGCAGCGTTTATTAATGTCAACGTGATTTGACGTTGTTTTCTAGCTTATGGTAAATACTCGAACTATATGTGACACAGCGTTATAAAACGTCGACGTCTCTCAACGTTTGTGTCGCATCAAAAATTAATCTTGCACACATGAAGAGCACAACGTTTATCAACGTAAATCCAATTTGTATGGGGAAACGGTGTGTCACAATGCGAGAATCTTCTTACGGCGGCGCTGGGCCGAACGTGTTAACTGATGCCAATTCAAAAATGGCAAAGTGATATAAAAACATGAATAAAGCACAGTTCTATTGTCATTTCACATATAATTTCCTTTTTGTTTGTTATATACATTCGTCAAATATTCGCATCGTTTCTTGCGAATGCGAATGTCAAAAAATATACGAATGCGAATATTCGTTACATCACTAATATGTATGTACGTATGTAGCTTTCTCATAAAGCAACCTTTGTCCACGTCATTTTGCAATTATTTTCTGTTTAATTGTTTAGTTCAATAAAGAGTATAATAATTGTTCATTCTGAATATAACCGAACCAAAGATATAGAAAAGATTACAACCACAAAATTAAAAAGAAAGTTCATTATGACACTACTATTATAAATAAGAAAGTGTGTATGTCTATCTGTGTGTGTATGTATCTGTATGAGTGTGTTTGTTTGTTGTTTGTGTTATTCCTTCACACTGTAACGGCTGGACGGATTTGATGAAATGTATTATGTTGTAGTACACAGATAGACTGACGAGGAGTAACACATAGCTTGTGTTTACTCCTGTTCCTGTGTACCTATAATATACTAAAAGTTGACGGTGTCCGTATATATATACATATAATATATTTTTTTGAAAATCTTATTGAAATAGTCATTATATTGATATAGAGGCCGAATCTGTAGCTTTTAGAATTTTTGTCTGTCTGCCTGTATGTGATCGCATCACGTAAAATCACTAGAGGGATTTTCATAAAATTTAGTATGATGATGCGGTCGTTGAGGGATTATAAATAGTAAAGGCACCGAGCGATGCATTCGAGAGGAGGGAGTGTAGTAATAATATAAATCAAATATACCGCTAAATAAACAGAATAAGTACACAAATATAAAACAAAGGCTGTGGCTTATCTTTCGGAATTATCACATAAATCTATGCACGCAATATACTAAACATTGCGTTATACACGTATGTTGCAGTTATATATACTCGTACATATTTGATATTACATATTGCATTGGTTAAAAAATCCAAATTTATCACAAATATTGCCTTCATTTTAATGGTTGTCATCAAGACCGAACACATGATTCTATGTAAACACGATACATATAATGTGATGTGTTTTGACGACACGTTTGGCTCAGTGTGTAGTGACCCTACTTGCTGTGCTAGAATTCGCGGGTTCGAGTCCCATTGGGGGCATTCGTTTATGTGATGAGCACGAATGTTTGTACTCCAGTCATGGGTGTTTATATTTATAATATGTATGTATTTAAAAGTTATATTTGTGTAGTGTATCAACTATCTGGTATCCATAACACAGGCCTCGTAGCTTACCTTGGAACTTGATGGTGCTGTGTGTTATTATCCCAACATATTTATTTATTTATAATGTGGTTTTTAAAAGAAACAGAATATATATTTACATCGTCAGACATTAGTATTTTGAAACACATTAGGTATCATAACGTCCATGTTATATTTTTTATCAACCGTTATTATGGACTATTATTTGTATACTATTAATTAATACTAATGTGATAGCCTGTAAAAGCAGCAAGTTGTATGTAACTACCTATAATTAAAAGTACAATTATCATGATAAATTATATGTAACCTAGGTTTTAGTATTATAATATTGTAACTTTTGTTGGTAGTTCAATAAATAAATAAATTATTAAAAATAAATACATATGCTTATGCCTGTATCTTATGGAATTTGTGCTGACACATAGATAGGTTTCTCAATCTAATGTATTTCTAGTTTTTCGACGTGAGGTATTGATAGTTGTTTGACGTAGACCGAAGTTGTAGTTTAAGGATGGTTTGCTAGCAAATTTTAACGATTCACGAACATTATTCCCGCACAAAACAAATGTTTCAATAAATAATTGTGCATATTCGTTTTGATCTTACGGACTTTCTTACTACAACAAGAGAAGTATTTACTAATTCATTAGTATTTTCTACTAACGGCTCAATCTCGCATCGCTCGGGTTTGCATCTAGCAAACAAAAACAAATCTAGCCCACGGGAAAAATATACATTTTTCAGGGATAAAAAGTAGCCTATGTGTTATTCTGATGTATGAGCTATATTATTGTAAAGTTTCATTAAAATCCATTCAGTAGTTTTTGCGTGAGAGAGTAACAAACATCCATACATCTATACATCCAGACATCCTCACAAACTTTCGCATTATAATATGAATACTAGTAGGATTCATCTATTAGCGGTATGTCATACCGGATAGTGGATACTAAATCAAAATAAAATCGGCTGAACTTATAAAGCCTTGTACTCAGGGCCAAGGAGCGTGAATCCATTGTGTCATTATTTTTTATGATACAAGATTTACATGGTAAGCTAATTCAATCAACTGCTGCTTTTGTCAAGGCAACAGAAGTAATCTTATATTTTTTTTAATATAAAGTAAACTATTGTGTTGTCACGTATACTATTATGATAAGAAGTTAGGGCTTGTTAAAAATAATAAGCATAAAATATGTGAAATGAATTTAAAAACAACATATTAAACGCACAAAGAAAATTGTAATTGAAAAAGTATTTCTTAGAAGATTATCAATTTTTGTACGTTTAATATTAATACATTATCCCTAAGGAAAACGATAAAATTTTGAGATACTTTATAAAATTATATATTGAATACTAAAAAAGGTAGTAAAAATATAAGATGATGATGTCTTTATTAAGCGACCCAGATGACAGGCACAAGGATGAAAAACCAATGTAATTTTTAATTTAGAACAAACTTTTAATTTGATGAACGAACAAGTGAACGAATCCGATTGTGACCGAATGGAACAAAACAATGACAGACATTAAAAAAAATAAAAAGTACCGCCATCTGACGTAGGAACTGCGCTGAATCCTGTCCACTGGTCTATTAAACAAAATTAGTGCATAATATAGTGCTTATAAAATATTTCGTGAAAATCATGCTTTTTAAGAATATAAATTCAAGCATTCACATGCGTTTTTAAACTGTGATTTGTGTTTTTTACATACTGTAATAAATAACTACAGTTAAATGTTGTGCTAATTTAAATTTTATGCAATTCAATCCTATTTGCATTTTTCAATCTAATATTAGATTAAGTTTGTATACACATATATACAACTTCAAATAAATCAGATTGAGCACACACTTTAAAACATTAATTATCAAAGCATTTCAAACTTGTTCTAGATTGCCTATGAAATAATAAGTACGTGTTTTTAGACTACAAAGCAAGCATTTCAATGCGACTGTACAGTTATACAAGTATTATTATATTGTTTGAAGAATCATGCATTTATAATGCCAGAGTGTAAGATCATAAAATATAATATTTACTCAATATATTATATAACTATGAAATGTTTATTTACACTACAATATTTATATATATAAAATAATAATACGCAAATTTCACGACTTACCGGTTGTATCAACAGGTGATCGATGTGGAATGATCGAATGTACATATCTCGCAACAAAATGACCAAAAACAGCTTTAAAATCGGGATTTTTCATCATGTCGACGAATTCAGCAAAATCGAGATACCCGGAGTTATCCCTGTCAGCCAGCGCCATGATTTTATCGACCACATTATCTGGCAAGTCGTGGTCATATTCCCTGGACTCGATGATCCCTTTCAGTTCTACGTAGGATATTCGTCCGTCGTTATCTTTGTCGTACTGAAAGGCGAAAAATATGTACATTTTAAAGACGTTTTAACTTTATATTTCAATCTCACAAAGCTCTTTGGGTTACGTATGAAGAAAATTAGAAAAAAAAAATTACAAATATCATAAAGACATGACGTGTTTGTGTAGTAGATATGTTGGCTTTGTATGTCTAGGCGACTATTTGGACCCCCCCAACGTGCGTTCACCTTGTCGTGGTGGGGGGGCTCAGTAGTGCCCGGCAATCCAACCGGGCGCGAAGCTAAGAAACGCACAGGGAGGTTGCCCACTTCGGTGGGCGGTGGGAGGTGGCCCTCTTCGGGGGGCGGTGTACCTTGCGGGTTGCTCCTGGTACTTTTCTGATAGCAGAGTGGACCTTGGAGCAACCCCATGGTTGTGGTGGTCTGCTTCGGCAGACCTGCCGTCGGGGCGTCGTAGTTGAATGCGTAAGCGATCCTGCGACGCCCCATTAAGACGGGGGAAGGTCTTGTTGGGTTTTAGTGGGTAGTGCTGGCTGTATTACGCCGGTGAGTCCCACACGTCGTGCGTAAATGCATTTCCCAACGTTAAAAAAAATAAATGGCGACTATTTGGACAAACTATATATTTTTTTACAAACGAATTCCTAATCATACTACATTTGGTAAATCAAAAATGATTATTAAGATCTATTTATGTCTGATTTTGTCATCAAGGGTAACAAGTTCTACAAACAACATGTTTATGATATAATATGTAGTAGATTTTCATCTTGTAAAATTTACAATACTAGCGACATGCCCTCGGTTCGCTCGGGTTCGCCTCTAGGTGATTCTTTAAATTGACATAACTGTTTTATATATGAACCGATTGAAATAAAATAAAAACTAAATGTTAAGTTAAACTTACTATGATATATTAGTCAAAACCGCACTTAAATGGGTTAAGCCAGTTCTGGGATTAGCGCGCACAAATGTACAGACAAACAGACAAAAATTCTAAAAATGATTGTTTTTGGTTCCATTGCGTTAATAAAGACCCCCAATAATAGCTTTTCTCAAATATCTTCCATGTACAGACAGCGATCATGTACATTTTATTAAGTATATATATTATAAATACTAATATGTTTTGGATAGTTTATAGTTTATACTATTACTTGAAGTTAAAAACACAATCATTAAGGTTTTATTTAAAATATAAATATATTGATAATGCAAATATTCCAATTTAATTACGAGCAAAAATTCTTTATGAATAGAAAAACTTGTCTAAACTAGATTATTTCCATAATATATTTATTTGGGCGTATCTCTATTACTAATTTCCACCCACGTCTGATCCATACTCGTTATCTAATATTAGATCAAAAAACAAACATTTCTGACTTACGAACTCACAATTGCAAATATTTGAACGACGCTCCCTAATCTACTTTAAGCTTCGTATCGGTTAACACAAGTATTCAGTTGATTACCATTAATTTTTTCTTCTATTTTAATGCAAATTGAAATGAAGTGAGGTTACAATTACATTTTGTTTTTTATTGTCGTAAAAGATGTCTTTCCGCTCATGTAAAATTGAACCCACAACATCCTGCATACGTTGTAGTCTAACACAAAAATTGTAAATAGGTAAATTATTTAATTTAATATGCTCGTTTAGAAATTATCTCCAGAAGAACATTGAACTTTCATGAACGACATGAAAGTTCAACAAAAATTAGGAATCTTATGAAACGAGCCTTGGCTTTGTTTCGGTGTGTATATTTTAATATTTTATGCACAGCCACTTAATATAAACTTAATGTGAACATCGAACAGGGGATCAAGTTATACCTACTTAACGATCAATTAAAAATTATCGCTTGAAGGGTCGCGGTCAGTTAACAATTAATTTCACGGAAACTAACCACGGAAGCGTTGTAACATCATCTAAACAGTAAGCTGATATTCAAAACGATAACTAACTTAAGCTATATAACTAAGACTTTATACATATGTAATGCAACAAAACAACATAAGATTGGTATTATTGCACGGCTGTTACAAAGATGATCATATTATGAAATTTGTTTTATCCTTTATCCTATAGTAAAGGTTTCTTTCCCGGGACAAAAAGCAGTCTATATAAATCTCGTCCAAATAAATCTATGGGTTATAGCAAGTCAATTTACATTTAGAACCTCATTTTTATTCCTTTATGAGTTGAACTGTTGAATTACCAAAAATGCTTTCTTTAAAGATACATCCGTGGTCCCTATGAGAAATCTACTTGCTTTCAAGTGTTTGTGTTTGTTTGTGTGTCTGTGTGATTAATCACTAATTGGTATTTTGCTTTTATATATTAGACTAGCGATTAACCCTCGCCATGCTTGGGTAAGTTCCTAGATACATTTTTTATACATAAAAATACCTAGTTATTGTGACTCACGAGAACTATTTTATTATATAATAATTATTTGTGAATGCACCTTAAGAGATACACATATACTATCAACCGATCAATCGATATAATGTATAGATTCCACTTATCTATTATCAATATAATCGGTATTTTCCGTATCTCTAATACGATTCGATGCCGAAGAATATTTGCGTTCGTAAGACGGATTTTCCTGGGTATTTCCCCATCAAGGCATGTATGTTAATTTTTGTATTATGGCGGAATCGACACAATTTTGTATGTATGTAATCAGCCCTTTTTAACGTCAAACTGCTGGGCACGGGCCTCCCCTCAATACGAGGGGGATCAGGACATAGTCCACCAAGCTGACCAAGTGCGGGTTGGCGGACTTCACATGTCTTTTGAAAACTTGCCAGGTTTTCTCAGACATGCAGGTTTCCTCACGATGTTTTCCTTCACCGTAAGACAAGTGGTAATCATGTTGGAAGTGATTCGCACATGAAAATATCAGATGTGCGAGACCCGGGATTTCAACTCGCTTCACTCGGTTTCAGCACAGCAAAGTGGGATCCCGCAAACCAGCGGGATAATTAAGTTTATTACTTACATTAAAATATTAATCTTACAAGAATATAATATATCTAACAATTAATATCTTAAAATTTATTTTATTTACATATAATAATAATTTATTTTTGAGTTACTTATTTTGTAATATCAAGTTTGGAAATAAACCAAATTGTAGGTATAAAGTTAATAATTTGAAAAATTATATTATTAGATCTAAAATGCTGAAATATTGTTTTTTTGTTTAATAAAATTAAACTGAAAATTATATAGAATATAAAGCTTATTGAATTGTTTTCTTGTGTTCTTATTTTCCCCGTACTGGCTACACGTACGGTACGTAACACATGTAGGTACGGCTGCTCATCCGAAGGTCCTGATTTCAAGTCCCGGGTCGGATCAAATTCAGTTATTGAGTCTTTCTGCTAAGTCCCAGTTACAGCCCGGGAAGTTTGCGGTGTTTCACCCCCGTGATTCGGAAGCCTTCGGTCCTGCGTCTGATCTCGCAGCGTTCATGATTATCGCTGCACTATAATATCTCCTGCAGTTGGCTAGACTTAGTGAGATTGGCCGCCGTGGCCGAAATCGATAGGGAGGATATCATTATCCTCTTCTACGAGGTTAAGACCAGTGAGTATACTTGTAATTAGATTTAACCATTAGTCACGAGTAAAATACGTAATCGATTTAAAGAAATTGACAATTTAACAATTGTCGCCTGAGTCACTCATGGGCTAAGAATATATTTTTAAGTGTCAGTATCCTAGGATTACTCATCAAATGGGTGCTGTTATAGAACACACAATTGCTAATAAACTGTTCCAGAAAATAAAGCTTTCATTGTACCCGTGACCATGGAACTTACAAGTGCTAAAATATTGTGAGCTCAAACAGATTTAATATCATAAAAATAGTATTAGTGACCATGAGAATTAAAAAAAAATGTTTATTCACTATATCTTACAAAGTACCGATGTATGTAGGTGCTATATCATAGATGTAAAAAACAGCACACAGTAATATATTGTTATGTCTGTAGAATTTAAGTCATTAGTCAAGGCTGTAATTCTGTCATAAAAATCAAGATAAATCTTGATATTTTTTTTAAACATTACCATCTACCAAACCACTGGAGGGATATTGATTAAATTTGGTATGGTAATAGCTGGTTACCAACATATAGGATACTTTTTACCGCGGAAAAATATCTCATTTCTGAGAAAAAATACAAATACTTACTGCAATGTAAGAGTATACTAATATGTAAAACCTAAGAATTTGGTTTTTGGTCACCTGAACGCGGGTGGAGCCGCGGGCAATGCTAGTGTTTTATATGTTTACTGATTGTGTATTGATTTTCTTAATTCTTTTATTAATGAATGGCTCATCCCTCAGAGTGGAATAGTAACAAGTTTTTTGAAGTTTCTACTGATTTTGAGTGAATTTCTTTTTTAACTGAATTAGACCACTAATACATATTATATATAATTAAAATTAACAAATCATGGTGATTTAACTAAGATTGTGACAGCATTTTTATTTAACATGGATAGTTCTGTACATAGTAAATACCTAACTACATAAAATCTTCTAAAATTCTAATAATATAGGCATTTTATAAAACCACAAATGGAATAGGTAGCCTCAATATGCTTTTGATGCCCCTAAATGAGAATAAATATTATACTATTATGAATATTGTATAATAATGTAGTACACTTATGATTATACTCATGTATGTCTGGTTATGTATCATTATACAATAAAAAAGTTTTATTGATTACTTTTACCTATATTTAAGCTTCTTCTTATTCGCTTGGGTTTCCCTCTAGAGAAGCACAAACAGATCTATCCCATGGGAACCATACATTTTTCTGAGATAAAAAGTTACCTGTTGTTTGACTGGTAATATAAGGTATCAGCATGCTAAATTAAGTACATAAGTTGTTGTTTACTAAGCTGTATAAGTTACTATAGTTTTTTAACTATCCCACGGGAACTCTTTAATTTTCCAGGATAAAAAGTGTCTAATATGTTGACCGGGGATATAAGATACCACCATGCAAGATTTCAATTATATGAATCCAACAGTTTCGGAAATTTGCCTGTACAAACGTGTTAGAGAAACGAAAACTTTGAAAACATCTGGATTTGATTTTGTTCTATTTCTCTTCTAACACCCCCCTGACTCAGTTTTTAGCATTTTTTCTATGTACAGACATTCAAACTCTACAGTTTTATTATATGTACAGATTGTAAAGTTAATTTCTCAATTACAGGTAAAAATGAGGAAATTCATAACAGAGAAAGTGTTGTGTCATTTCTTAAGAATTAGTCTATTTTGTAAATAGTGATTTATAAAATATTGTTTGATTTCTGTTTACATTCCATGATTGATTTCATTTAAAGGCTATTTATATTTTGGCTCTTTGCCAATATAAGCTCAATGTGAGTGTTTTTGTAAAAATAGCATAGCAATACTGTACTACTGTAATAGAATATACCAATGGTTTTCTAAAACAAAAAGCTGATAAAAAAAGAGCATATAGATCTAAATAAATTTAATTTAATTTAATTTAGAAAAATCAGAATAAAGTTTTACAACATAAATATTGCAATTTTAAAGGTATGTTTAATGTTTATACATACCTTATGAACTAAAAAGTAATTATTAACTACGAACGTAGTTAATGTTTATGTATTAATTAAGTGATATTATAATATTTTTTACCCTGACAGTAGAAGCTATATTTTGATCCCACAAACCTGAAATATTACACAATTGTGAACTTTCACTTACAGTAAGCCGGTAAATTACCCACATAATGGATGAGGTTCCGTTTCTTAAGTAAGCAAACATTAAAAGTAGGACGATATACCTTGTTAAAAATTCTTCGCCAATACAAATCGGATCTCGTAGGAGTTAACGGTATCGACACCGTAGCTTCCCTTTGACCAGACGGCATGTTTTTACTTAAAAATCACTTGTTTTATTACTAGAAAAACCCGTGACGAAAGTTTTTACACTATATTTTCTTTAGACAAAGTAGCACATTGATGACACGAATGTTTTAAGGGTTTGCTGATTATTTCTCATGATCAATTTCGTAAAAGCAAACGATAAGATAATGATAATAATTATCTCGATATAAATTTACGTTTGTTTAAAATATTATAACATTAGCACCCAACTACTTCGCTTTCTAAACGCGAGTCAACTGAATGAAAATGGTTTAATGGAACGAATCATGAATGGAACGATAAATGACAACAACAACTGTCATGCTTGTCCTTTTGCTATAAGGAGGGTAGAAGTAAGGAGGGCCATCTCATATATTAAAAAGTGTCCGTTGACAGGGAGCAAATTAAGGTGGCGCTATAGTAGTAAGTGGAAGAATGTTATAAGGAGTGCCACAAATTATTAGAGTAGGATACTAAATTAAAAAAGGAAAGGAAAATTTCCTGTTTGTTATTGAAACTTTTTACGTATTCCAAAATGATTTAGTAAATATAACCGAAAAAACTGTGGTGATAGAAACGTAGATAGTGATTTATTTTTTGTGAACTTCTAATGATACTTTTGCTGGTTTCTTCAAAATGTCATTTGTGTCGTTTGTGACTTTTTTAACTTTTATTTGTCATCCATGTTTTTAACTTGGAGATAGTTCTCCTTACCTCTACCCTCCATATTTTATAAAACTTTATTCTACAGATTAGGAAGACTTACAGAATACAGACTACAGTCAGTCATAGATTATTCATATAAAATCCATAGTGAACAATAATTTGAATGATACTGATTAAAACAAATCGTCAAATGTCAAATTTAATTAATTATCAATCATTGAATTTTGCTTTATTTAATATTTTGTTATTTCAAAAACTATGCTCTAAGAATATCAAAACTATTAAACATTTATTTTTATTTAGTATTTTTATTAAAATATTGTGAAATATTGAGGAGATAGAGGGATTTGAACTTAATAACAACCTTGTTACCATGGCAATGGCTTACAAACAAACACTACGTAATATCAGGATACAAGCAAATAATCTACTGGCAAAGTTAGGTTAAGTATATTGTGCATCGATGTATAATTTAAAATAGCTATACCCTACAAAAAGAAAAGAATACAATAAGAATGCAAGAATTCAGTAAATGTAATAAAATACATGGTATATATTGGCTTAAACGATCTTTGGAAGACATCATAATTAGGTATAGTAAACTAAGGAATAAATTATTATTATATCGTCCGATTTTTTGTGATCTCATTCAATATTGTGTTTCAGAATTAAATTAAAATTTAAAGAAGACATTATAAGTTTGCCAAAATTTGAAGATTTTAAAGAGAAATCAGATGAAGAAAATCTAAATATTTTAGATAGCAATAAAGTGGAAACATATGATTTAAAATGGCAAGAAAAAGTTTTCAGTAGTTGGGAAATTCAAAAATATTCATATATATACAACTGTACGACAGAAACAGAAAAGAAATATCATGAAATGATCACAAAATCAAATTGTGAATCAAGTAAAATTTTTACTTATATAAATGAAGACTATCATTTACCTGTACCTGTTGGAAAAATGACAAGAAAACCAGATATTCGTTATTTAAGTGTTTGTTTTGCATTGTTAAAATTAGATGAAAAAATTGAAGCGCACAAAGATGTATCTAGCTCAATGGGACATTTGTTTAAAAGTGAAGATGATATATCACATGAAGAACAATGGATGGCAATGCATGTTGCATTAGATACTTCAGAATATAATGAGTAAGTATTTTAAAACTGTTTTGTTATTTATAAAGAATATAAAACTATTATTAAATTATGTATAAAATTACATATAGTTTTATATAAAATAGATAAATGAATGTGCTGGGCTTGTAATAAACTTAATTAATGAATAATATTTCAATTCTTAAAATATAATATTATTTATGTTATAGTATATAAGTAGATAAAAAAATTATTAAAGAAAATTTACATAGATTTATGACAATACATATATTTTTTTAGAGATTCTCAACTACTTTTCAAGCAAGAATGTATTCTTCTCTCCATATTCTATAATGTAACAGACCAATATCTATTACTTTCACCAGATGTTAATGATTTAGAATTTAACCCGTATTGTATCGAAGATGCCGATGGCACAGTTTCTAAGACTCGACAATTGAGAGAATATAGTATAGAGATTGAATTCCAAGAGAAAGCTAATACAGAAGAATTAGAAGAACTGGTAATGGATCATTTTTCTTAAATTTCTCCCTAAACTCTTTATCTTTGTATTACCTAAATATTACTTAAACTAATGTTTTGTGTATTTATATTTCTTTTGTAGTTACATAATTTATATAAAAAATGGAAGAAAAAGCAGAAAAATATATTAAATTTTGTAATGCCACCACTGGGAAAGAAAAAATTCTTTCTAACATTGGAGATTGTTTCAGCTATAGAATTTGAAATGGATAACTTGTATATTGAATATCATATAAAGGTTAAGTAGAAATATTCTTTTCGTTTTTACATTTAATATAGATTTCTCAGGTAAGATATTTTCTCACGGTAAGAAGTATCCTATATGTTGACCCGGATAACGAGCAATCATCATACCAAATTTCATCAAAATCTGTCCAGTACTTTTCTTGCGATGCGTTCTCAGAGAGACAGACAGACAGATAAAAATAAAAACTATAATTTCAGCCCCTTTATCGATAATAATGACTATTCAATAAGATTTTCCAAAAAATATTTTATATACAGATTTGACTCGACTAGAATTTTATTATATGTATAGATTAATAATATCTTTAATATCAGATTCCAGATGATTTACAATATAATGGTGAGATAAGTGGACGGACTCATGTCAGTAAGAAAATGTATGTAGACGAGAAGTCTGTGTGGATGTATGGGCATATTATGGAATTAGAATTAGAATGTGCTACCGGAATAAGTAAGTATGAGAAGTACTGATAAATCATAAAGTATACTTATTTTTATTATACTTTGATTAATAAATAGATTATATCATGGTCTGTGCAAGATTTAAGCAACACTCCTGGGATTCCCCATAAATATGAGCAACCTCTACAAAAAAAGTGTTTGTGTAGTGTGAATTTGTACACGCACGTAAGAAGTTATACTTGTTTGGTTTTTTTAGATTATTTAAATAAAAGCTTGTTTTTTTTAATTCGTATTCTTCTCAGCAAACCTTTTCATTTGATATGCATATCATAAAGGTAGTATCATTATGGAAATGATAAATCGCCATATTGTAACTCCGCCCTACTGGATTAAAATGGCACGAGAACCAAACGTGTGTGCCAAATTTCAGTTCAATCGGACACTGGGAAGTAAGTCAAATTTGACTTGGAAGATTTGATTACAGACAGACACCGGGACAGGTGAAAATAAATAAAAGCTTGTAATAATATTATTTTTATCTATATAAAACTCGTGTTGTGTTGTTGTGTACATAGAAATACCGGATAAAATATCATGAATATAAACATCACACTATACTAATAGGAGTTTTAACGACTAACTTCTGTACTGCAGTCTAAATCTGTCTGTTTTTTGCCTAACGCGCGAAAAGAAGTGTAACTTCAAAAATATAAGTGACATGGGAATATTTTTTGTAAAGCAATCGAATGAGAAACATAAAAATAAAAAATAAAACAGTTTAATTGAATAAATGTCAAATATTTATTATTATAATCGATCAAAAAAGTACTAGAATACACAATCAGCGACAAAAAATATCCTCACCGAAAGAGCGCTCATTTGAATATTTGTGCGCGTTTTTAATATTTTTTTTTGTGATAACAAGTTTAAGCATTGCATTTAAGATTCAATTTACATTGTTGTATATTTATTTCAACTAGAATAACACGTTCCTGTGACAGTTTTAAGAGAACTTTTTTGATTGATGTGGGAATATTTGCTGTAAAGCAATCGAATGAGAAATATAAACATAAAAAAATAGTTCAATTGAATAAATGTCAAATATTCGCGTAAGTTTATGAAAATAGTTTGTATTGGACTAGCGCTACTAATGATATTTGTATTGGCTTAAATATTAGTATGAAAAATGTTACACAATTTTCATTTAGAAATATTCAAGTACAATGATTAATTATTTAATTTTTATTTACCTTAACTCTATTTTAAGGGAATTTACTATTTAATATTAAATAATATTAATTTAAAATAAACTATATTTCAGATCCATCGCCATTAAAAATCTTTCTAGAAGCAATTTCCACAGACTGGTGGGGGAGGTACAACACACAGGGGTATAGCTGTCTCGCTCTGACACTAGAGGCTGGAGAACAAATAGTATACCTGTCTTGCTCTCGACCAGAAGAGTTGGACAGTACAGTGGCAGAGAGTAGACGGTTCTTTGTGGGAGGATGCCATTTGTTAAAGGACTTGGATGTTTTGGATAATCCTCAAACACAGGTAAAACTAAAAACGTCTTAACTTAACTATACAGATAAATAATATTAACAAAATAACAGCTTTTTACTAAGTACATGTTAAATTATATAAAATATTTTTTAAATTTTGGTCTGTTTGTTTGTTTTGGCTTTCAGCGAAACGTCTGGACTTATTTTGACAATTTTCATTGGCAGATAACTGGTGTTATAAGGAGTAACTAAGGCTACTTTTATTTAAGAAAAAAAATTAGGATTCTGCTTAAAAACAATCATATGTAACGTAAAAAATTAATGTAATACTAAATAAAAACCAATTTGTATTATGAAATTAGTTTAAAGCATGCAGAAGTTAAATTCACGAAATTAGCTTCAATAAACACAAAATTTGTTTCTTAATCTATTTGCAATAAAAATAAGAATAATGCAATATTTCTCCGACAATATGCTTTCGTGTCACTCATTTTATAATTGTATTTACAAGAGAAAATTAATTGCATTAGTTTTATCAAAAAGATACGTAGGATATTATTTGAATTCGAATTAAAATTTGATTGTGGTAAGAATATTTATGTGTGGCTTTGATACAGAATTATTGACTTTTAAATGTCAATTTTGTTGGTATTGAATACACAAGTAAAACATTTTAATATAGCCGAAATATTGTGTTATATCTAAATGCATATACAAAAATCTTAAAAATAAAGCTTTTTTTTAAATAAAAAAAAACTTTCAATTATAAAGTAAAAGTATTCATAGTTCGGACAAAGTATGGCGAATATAAGTTGCTCGAATAGATTTCGTAACTTAAATTGCTTACAAAACGAATGAGTTACGACTGTGGTGGGATTTTTATTCTCAGACAAACTGACAACAAAGTATAGAGAATCCCAAAAAATTACGAATTACGCAACTATTACTGTTATTGTATTGTAGTGTATATCGAAATGAAGTTTTCATTCATTCATTCACTCATTCCTTTATTCATCTACGAGTATGATAAATCTAATAGCTCTGTTCGAAACAAAATCTCATTAAAATATGAATATCCATCTATCCAATATCCAGGATGCAAACTTCAGATACGTTTCAACTGGCACAATATCACTCCGATGGCAGATAGTGTCGCAGACGCACGCGGCCGCCGCCCCGCCGCTGCAGCCACACACATCAGCATCTGCTTTATTGAAAGGTAATAATAAATTTGGGAACCGAACAGATGGGAACCCAGTCAAGCGGGTTCAAATCCCGGTTCTCACACCTCTGATATTTTCATGTGCCAGTCATTTCCAACATGATTACCATTTGTCTTACGGTGAAGGAACACATGGTGTTGTGTGTTAATGTTCCAACATATTTATATTTATTAAGTCTACGCTCTCCGTCCAACCTCGTTTGCGATTTCGACTCGCACTTGACCGAATTTTTAGTAATATTTTGTATTACATTCATGTAGGAGCCGAAGCAGTACTACGACAGTATAGAAAAGCCAAAGCGACATTGGCAGCCGCGACTGAAAATATAGCGAATTAGTATAGTTGTTTAAATAAAACAAATTTTATTAAATTAGACATTTTATTTTAAACCCATTTTTATGTTTACACAACGTTTGTATTATGAGGTAGTTTTTGTTAAAAGAAACTACGATTTATAAAATTATATTAATATAAGTTTTTAAGCGATTAGTTTTAACGATATATGTATCTATCTATACTTCACAAGAAATTTTATGTAAAATAATACTAAAGTTATTGTATTTAATAAAAATTCATTAATTTGAAATTTCGTCATACATAAGGCTTGTTTACATAGAAACCTAACATCTTCCAGACTCGTCAAATTATAGAAACATAAACTAAGCTCTACCGTACGGTACGTAATACACATTGCATAGGATATATTCTCCTTTTCATTACTACCTTTTTTGCAAAGCAAGAAACTCTTGTAAGGATACTAATATTAACATGGCACAAATAATACATAAACATAAAAATATCTTATTTCACGAAAAGTGTACGAAGAAGTATAGATAAGTAGTCGTAAGTTTAAGTACAGTATGCTTCGCCCAACCTACCTGGTCCCTCGCACAGCATCCCTCATCTCCCGGGCGAGGGCGGCGGCGCGGCGCGCGCGCAGCAGGCGGCGGCCCCGCGCGCGCCGCGCCCGCAGCGTGCGCGCGCGCGCCGCCTCGCCCCGCGCTTGCGCCTGCGCACGCTGAAGCGCCTCCGCTGCAGCTAGATCCTGCCGTATCAGTGACGTCTCCCACGAACTGAGCGCATTCGAGATCGCTAGACGCTGGGCGCGATTCATTTTGTTAGTTGTTTTTGTTTAAAAAAAAACTTATGGAATTTTCAAAACACTCCAATTTAGAGACCATATACGTATATAATCACCTACCTGTGAAGCATTTCTTAGGAAGGCATCTCGTCTTTTGCTGGCATCATCAACTTTTTTCAATGTATAAACCAGCTCCACCTGCTTTTTCCATTCATCTGCGGCTCCGAGTCTACATCTTCTGTCCTTCGCCAGTTGTATACGAGCTTCTTCTTCTACTGCTTTACCGATTAGATCTGTTATCTGCGAACAATTAAATCGGTACTATTCCAAAGAAGATTATTTCATTTTATTATTCACTGTGTGGGTATAATATGTATATATTAACCATCTTACAAAAAAGACAGTTCTCCATAAGATCTATATGTATGGGAGTGTGACTGCAATTTCCTCGAGAGTTAAAGCATTTTGAGGATTAGTTAATAACTAACTAAATAACTGTTTGTTTGTTTATCTTCCTTTCACGTCGAAACGGAATGACGGATTGACGTGGCTTTTTGTATGGAGATAGTTGGAAGGCTGATGAGTGACGTAGGTTACTTTTTACCGCGGGAGATAATCTCATTCCCATGGGAAAACTCGTACAACCCAAAAAATATTTATGATCAGAATTACTTAAAACTTGGTATTAATGCTTTTCAATACAATTAAATAAATACGTATTTAAACATTTTTCGAAATTCATCCCATAAGAGGGTAAAATATGGGATAAAAGTTTGTATGAAACCTACTTATTTAGTTTTCTGTAGTTAAAACTACAGAAAAACGCGTGAGCGAAGCCGCGGGTTCTGCTAGTTTATAAATAAATATGGTTAAATATACCCTAATGTCTTTTCATTTATACATTTTTTGTCTATCCTTATTTCGAATAAAATTTTGTAAATACTTAAAAATATTGTCATTAATATTACAAAAAAAATCTTTTATACCTTTCTATCTTCTCTCCAGGCCAACAATTCCGCACTTCTCTGCTCCTTGTGTCGAATGCAGTCCATCAACTGTCCCCTTTTAAGTTGTTGCTCTATAGATCTCTGCAGGCGCTTGAACTCGTTGTAGCTTTGCTCACGTGATCGCTTCTGGTGCAAAAAGCGTTTATACTGTTCTGATGTCTCGGCTTCCACCTGGAAAGAAGAAATGTGTATTTTTGCTCGCATTTAGCAAAAAAAGTATTCCTACAAAAATAATTAAATAGATCGCAAAAAACATAATATGTAAGTAACAAATAATATCAGACAAACAGCGAATAGGAAAATATGGAACTCACTTTAAAACAGCTTGAAAAATAGTAATTTCACTCCGAGGACTAGAATTTTACTTAGATTTAGTTCTAAATTTACCAATAGATGGCGCTGCCTAAGAGCTTTATTTAGAAACGATAGAAAATATATTTTTCACAATTATAAGAAATAAAGCGTACCTAGTAAAAATAATCAAATTTAGCGAAAATTATAATATAAGTACCATCTGGCGTTCTTCTTTCTCCTTCAACCACATCTTCTGGAACTGTTCAGCCAGACGTTCTCTTTCATCTTTTTCTTCTCTCTTTCGAGCTAGAGCTTCTAAAAGCTTCCAGTCTCGTTCAGGAATCGAACCCCAAACCTCTTCATTATTGACATAGTCAAATGAGCTGATCAATTCTGATATCGTATTAGGTACTGAAATAACGAAGAAAGAAAAATAGTTTAAGATAATTAACCAATTAAATACATATTATTAACCGACTTCCAATTCCAAAAAGGAGGAGGTTCTCAATTCGTCGGATTTTTTTAATGTATGTTCACCGATTATTCGAAGACGCCTGAACCGATTTGAATTTTTTTTGTTTCAAAGGGTATACTTCCCAGGTGGTCCCATCCATATAAATTTTATCGAAATCGGTCGAGCGGTATTTTAAAAAATCAACAATAAATATATTTTTTTAAATAAATTCTTTAATCGAATATGTTATTAAAAAACTTTCTTCTTACAAATTACCTGCTTATTACGTCTACACTAAAAATGGAAATATAAAAACTTTTTAACAAAAATAAAAACCGACTTCCAGGCACTAAAATGTAAAAAATAACTAAACGGAGGTTTTCAATTCGAATAGATACCTACCTAATCAGATATTTTCGAAGTCGGTGCCAGCCGACAATATTTTAAGATATGAATATCTAATAGGAAAATATGTGTTTTACGTATCGAAATATATTAGATTTGCTTTGCATCGGCTGGCACCGACTTCGAAAATATCTGATTTAGATGAAATTTGGTAAGAAGATAGTTTGAGACTCTGGGAAGGACATAGAACTTTTTATCTCGGAAATCATCCCTTAAGGGGATGAAAATGGAGATGAAATTTTGTATGGGGAAACAATCTAGGGACAACCTCGAGCGAAGCGAGGGTGAGTCGCTTGTTATTTCTAAATAAGTTTTTTTTTTAATTTTATTATTATCATATTGCATTCAAGTGGTTGTTCTAATATAAATGTTTTTTTATTGCAACATCATCTGAAAAAGAGGATTTAGTGTACTTTTTTGTAACAAGGTAATAGCTACTTTTTTACTAAAAAACTATTCCTGACCCCCGACCTAAGACAAATTACTATGGGCTTATTTACAAAACAGGAATGGAACCCGTGACGTCCTGCACGGTAATCAAAGATAGTCAATTCAACATGCTCCAGTGTACCACAGTCGTCTATAATAATAAAAAATAATATTAACATAGTATAAGGAAAATTATTAATTTATAATTCTAGAGGAAATCAAACGGAAACGGACGGAAAACTGAATACTCGAGTGAAACTATACAGAAAACCTGAAGTTGATAAATATGTTACCCAAAAAAGTGTACCTAAATTTAATTTAATGGGAGGAAAAATTTAATAAATTAGATTTCAGAAGGATATTATATAAACAATAATGATTTCAATCCTGAAAAATACTAAACGAATGTCTGTTGTAAAGGTTGGTGTATTTGTCTTTTAAGCAGAGGTAGTAGATTCGATTACAGGTTACACTACATATTATAACATTGTTTACACTTTAGGTACTTATGTAAGTACTTGGTATATTATATATTGTAATAATTATAAATATGTATATACATATTTAAAAAATAACGGTTACTAAAAGATACATCGACATCAATAATTATTATTGTATGTTTATTTTAAAATTAAGACCCGGGTAACCAGTTGTCATCATACATCTCAATCTGACAGACAGACAAACATTCTAAAAACTATAGACTAGGCCTCTGTATTGATAATAATGGCTATTTCAATAAGATTTTCCAAAAAATATTTAATGTACAGATTCGACTCAAGTTAGAATTTTATTATATATAATAAAATAAAAATAAATAAATAAAAAATAAAAATAAATAAATAAAAAATAAAAATTAATAAATAAAAAATAAAAATAAATAAGAAAAAAATAAAAAAAATAAAAGTTTATATGTTTGTTACTCCTATACGCAAAAACGGCTGACCAGATTTAGATGATATTCACTACACAAATAGCCTACAATAATAATGGAGTAGAGCATCGCTAAGATTAGTAATAAAATTTGTCGAAAGATAGTGCTGTGTAATTTTATTAAGTAAGCAATTCATGTATACATATAATATGTATACATACACTATACATACTCGTAAATTTATTTTATGTACGAGTATCTCGGAAACGGCTCTAACGATTTGGATCAAATTTTGTATTTATAAGGTTTGCATTTTAAATCTACGTTCGTACGTTAAGGTATACTTTCAAAAAAAACCGCAATTTTTATATCTTTTCCAAAAAAGAGCGGAGCATAGCTCTGTCTGTCTGTCAAAAAATTATTATATAAACGCAAAACGGTAGTACTAAAATAATGTAAATATATCTTACAGCTAGATCTCCTAACTGGCGACCTCTTCCTGGGCGATGCACATCGCGACCGTCTCGGCGACTCTGTTATAATTTTATAACAAAACACCATTATCTTATGTATCTTCTATAACAATTGTGGGAACGTTTTAATTGCCGTTCTGTATGATTTGGTATGTGCTGGCGTAACAGATTTCTCTTTCAAGCCGCTAAATAAGTTCGCATTTTATTAAATTATTATTAGTTCGTCTTCAAAAACAGCTTATTACAATAATAATACGTACTTGTTAAAATATCGTTTTTTTTAAAGTTAGAGGTAAAACGTGTAAGTGAGGTTACAACGTCGCTACGTTTGTATTGATTTAACTTGGCCGACTCTATTAAATATGTAGGAGAGTATATATCGGTTGCTATAAAGAATTTTACATTACATACTTAAAATTACAAAGCTATTATCATTGACTAGCATTGCCCGCGGCTCCGCCCGCATTCAGATGACCAATAACCAAATTCTAATATTTTACATATAAGTATACTCTTACATTGCAGTTTTTGTATTTTTTCTCAAAAATGAGATAATTTCCCGCGGTAAAAAGTATATTATATGTTGACCCGAATAACCAGCTAACACCATACCAAATTTCATCAAAATCCCTCCAGTGGTTTTTTTATGATGCGGTAACAGACAGACGGACAGACAAACAGACAGAAAGACAGACAGACAGACAAAAATTCTAAAAACTATACATTCGACCTCTGTTTCTAAATAATGTCTATGTCAATAAGATTTTTCAAAAAAATATTTAATGTACAGATTCGGCTTCGTTAGAATTTTATTATATGTATAGATGTGATAAATATACATTGTACAGTACACATTAAAACATTTGTATGTACATACAGACAAAATCATTGATTAGACTTACATTAAAATAAAATGGCAGTCAAAATTTAGTAAACTGTAAAATCAGCATTTCCTTTATATACCTTTAACTGTAAATAACAAATGTTATTTTATAAAGATATACATAGAAATAAGTTAAGAGAGCGTTATCGTTATCAGTTCGGGGATATCGCAACACGCGATATGCTAGTCAGAAACGCTCCACGGCCCAGTAATGACGTTTGAGCCATGGATAAAGATAGGAAACCTGTAATCAGAAGGCCTGATGTGCTGAAGAAACTCAATGCGGAGAATGTACAGCTAATAGAACGCTGTTTGCTTGGTGATTTGCCTGACAGATTCAAACCAAGTACTGTGCCTGTACGAGGACATTCAAGGGAATTGGTAGTAGCAAAGTCATCAGGCCTCTTATCATCTTGTCTACCTATTATCCCTGACACACCATCGCCAGAAAAAATATCATCAGACGACGAAGCTGTGTCGCCGTTAAAGAAATCATTTAGTTTCCGAGACAAATTCCGTATAAACTTGTTTGGAAAAGATAAGATTGAGAAGCACAAATGTAAAACAATAGTCGAAGATGAGAGATCTAAAGAAGCAGCCTCCGAAGCTTCTAGTCCAAGCCACGAAACCGATAAAGAAAATAAGTCTGACAGTAAATCTAGTAAACGTTTTTGGTTTTTCCGTAACCGAGAACTTATGGATAAAAAAACACACTCACCTATATACACTAGAAGTAAAAGTTTCGAATTTCTTCCTAGAGCCATGGAAGAGGAAGAAAGTAAAGTGAAATTGATATTGAAAAAAAACAGTTTATCTTACGCTTTTGGTAGCAGTGACACTTTGGGGGATACGTCAGTTGACAGCTTGGAGTACATTGCAGATGTATACTACGACAAAGCAGATAATGTCTTTCTTAAAAGTATCAAAGAGTTGCAGGATTCTGATCATAATTCCTTCGCGTCCACTTCAACGTCAATTTCTAGTGGGGGGTTAGTTGTAAACATGTTGAAGACAGAATCCGTTCAAGACTTGCTGGATGAGTTCGACAAAACGGTTGATATGTTCAGTGAAAATTATTTGAGTGATTGTGAACCATACACGCGGACATTCAACGAGTTGGCGATCGATGAGAAGAGAAAGAGTATATCTTTCACCACTTTGCCTTCTCCAAAGATTTTACATGTGAATAAAGCGAATAGAATAAGTGAGGAGTTTAAGACTGAGTTAAACCAAATGTTGGTAACGAAACGTCATACTGTGTGTACGAAATCACCGAGACGCGGTTCGGTAACGGATTGGTTTGTGCTGGAAGATCAAAGTGCCGCGTCAGTGAAGAGTCAAAGTGCCGCGGCGTCTGAGGCCAACAAGTATCGTAGAGCGCAGAAGAAGCCAACTCAGAGGGTGAGGAGAATTAGTTCTACGAAATATGTAAGTACATACAGATAGTATATATTAATATAGTACATTTTAATTACTTAATATAAATATCCACATATGAGAATGAAACTTTTTCGTAATTAAATTACCAAAAGTAGAAGCGTGTCTATTGTCTGTCGTTAAATGATTACGTATATAAGAGATAGAGGAACAATCACCTCACAGTAGATAACGTTAAAGAAACAGCATTTTCATGTGTTTTATCTTTGTCAATACATAATTTTATGAATTAATTTAAATTAATTATAATTAATAATAAGCTCTATAGTTTGGTGATAATGATCTTTTAATTGACCTACATGTAGGCAAGGCGCACATTTTTATTGCCAGTATTTTTCTTCATAGAGCAATGAAATATATAAGTAATATTTAAATGCATGTAGACATTGTTTTATAAGTATAATCTATGTTGATAACATCTATATATTATTTAGAACGTACACAGAAAACTTCTCATCTTTTTTCAAGCGTGTTGCGCGCTCAGTTGTTCCATTATATAATATTATAAATGCGAAAGTTTGGATGGATGTTTGTTACTCAATCACGCCAGAACGGCTCAACGGATTTGCTTGAAATTTGGCAAAGAGATAGATTATAGTCTGAAATAACACTTTTTATCCTGAAAAAATGTACGGTTCCCGTGGAATAGATTTGTTTTTGTTTTTTTTAAATTGCTAGTGACTTTATATGAAGAATATAAAGTCACTAGCACTATGAATGTACAAAAAGATTTTTTTTTCGGGTACTTTTCGAGTACTTCAGAAGAAGAATAATGCTTATCCATTTTATGTATGAAGCTTTGTAGTCTAAAAAGGCTTTGATAGAATTTAACATATGAGGTACGATCGTCAGGTGTCTTAGTTTCAATTGTATGATAATCAATATATTACAAAATTATTTGTTCTTATCGGATTATCAACGCCAAGATCAAACTACTGCAGTGGATTTTTATTTTGATAGCTTATTCTCTGTAAAGACATAGAATAGGTAACTGTAAAAACATGACATTCTAAAGTTTACAACAATTTCATCCCTTGAAAGGGCAGCATACATTTGTACGGGAAACTTTTTACTATATTTCTGTCAAAAAAAGCAACTCAGCGAAGCCGAGATTGTTGGTATAAACTTTTAGCATTAGAGCTTTTTAAGTTACACTGTGTTGATAAAGTTTAACTAAACACCAAGTATAATGAAAAACAGCCAAAATATAAGTATAAAAGAAGCAATTCAAATTTTATTTTGTAAACTGTGATGTTATCAGTTACATGTCGCGATAACAAAAGTGGGCGGCGCATTTACGTGGTGACATCGTCTTTTATTTGAGACATGTAATCTATTGCTTTGTTTAAGCGGATGGCAATGATTTCCAAAATCTCTCTTTTGATATATAAACTCAGAACTTATCGCTTACACCAGTTGATAATCTTCAACTCTAATAAGTTATTTAAACAAATCTTGAAAGTTTGAACCATATTGTTTGAAATCTTTTTTTTTCTTTCTGTATCCTGCTCAACGCAACAATCTGTCTTTAGACATTTAGCTACTCCTTTGTTCGAAGTTATTCTGTAGTAGGTCTTTGTAGCAGTGAGAAATTGTCCATTGACTACTCTTGCTTATTCTATTGGGAATCGGTTTATTAGATTTGGAACACTGTTCCTCCTCAGTCTTGTGTATGTCTATGTGTCTGAAATCTAATTGTCGTATCGATTTGAAACTTTGCAAACGAATTAAAGCTGTCCAAATCCTTTGTATAGGATGGCGCATCTGTAAACCTATATATATCTGTATACCTATATAGTATTGTGCCATCTGTGCAAATTGAATGATTTTTTTATGCACACACGTTTTCATAGATAAATAAACCTGGTGAAATACTATTTAATAAATTTATTTAGCTCAAAATAAGCTAAAAATATTCCATTAATCATATTTTTCTTATTTTACCTTTTTGCACCATTCTACGGATAAAATAATTATTTTCAAGTTTCGTAGATTTTATTAACAAAGAAACAGACGGATAAACAAAATATGGATGGATAAAGATTTAACCAGATGTTCAATATTTTTGTTAAAGAAAATTAACTTATTTTTTTAACACGATTTTATTATCTTAACCTCTAACTATTTATACAAACAAATCGCGGAAGTCAAAAACCACATGTTTTGTTGAGTTTGAAATCTGTCGTATCGATTTGAAACTTTGCAAACGAATTATATTATAATAAGGCTTTCGAATTTCTTAGTACAGGGTGCACACTGCCACAGTATTGTGCCGTCTGTGCAAATTCAATAAAAATTTTTTTATTATATTATTCATATTTTTCTTATTTTTTTTTAAATATCATAATCGTGATTCATTTCTGAAAATAGTAGAATTAAAGAAAATCAACAAATACGTTATCAATGTATATCTAATCTATTGGACGGGTGGCGTCGAGAATATCAGTTTAATTAAACCATCAATTGTAGGAATGTGCGGATTTCAGTACACCTCCAGGTAAATTTCTAAGAAATTAATTAAATTTTTAAGAAATCTATTGTTAACTGTAACGTCGGCGTGTCCGCGGTCGTGGAGGGATTAAATCGTGGTTGTTCGGCGATTATTAAAAAAGCGAAAGTTTGTATGTGTGTGTATATATTTTACTCCCTCACGCCGAATGACTGGAAGGATTTGTGTGTATAGCACACAGATAAACTATGACCTGGGGTAACACATAGGTGATAGGCTACTGTTAGACACATAGGGTAAGTCATAAGTGGAGTATGGCGAGTATGGTCACCATATTTTATATGCCTACATCAGAGGCAAAATGAGATATGATGAAAAAATGCATTTAAAATTTAAATCTATACTAATATTATAAAGAGGCATAGTTTTTTTGTTTGAACACGCTAATCTCAGGAACTACTACTCCGATTTCAAAAATTATTTTTGCTTTAGATAGCCCATTTATTGAGGAAGGCTATAGGCTATATATCATCATGCTACTACCCAAGGGAGCGGAGCAGTAATCATAAATGTCAACAAATCGGGCAGACTTTCATACATTATTGTGAAGCCAAAGAGTTTTTTTTCTAGATTGAACGCGGGCGAAGCCGCAGGATCTGCTAGTATTATATAAACTATAGGTAGTGCGTTTAACAAATAAATTTAATTATAGCAAAAATTGCTATTGACAGTGTAATCTACTTGAACAAAGTAGGTCGAGTGTTTACGCGAGTACCTACATGATAATAACACTAAATACATGTCTAAATAGTTATAGGAGTTCTACAGCTTAAAATCTCGAAATTAGTTTTAAAACGCCTCCATATTTGTTGACAACAGTAGTGCACCTAGAGCAGATTGGTATTTTACCTTTACTGCAAAGAATATGTGAAAACACGTAGACATCTTCTATCTAGATATTCTCTATGGAGGTGAGAAAAACGACAAATATAAGATAGAAATAAAACCCATCACCCCGTAAAGTACCCATCCCATGAGTTAGATGAAATTTGACACAGATATATATATATATATATATATATATATATATATATCCCGGAAAAATCACAACTCAAACGTCCCGAAAGAAGTACATATGTAATATGTATAACTTCAATAAAAAATATAAACAATATCATTAGATCTAAAGATGAAACTCCTGATAGTCTTAAATCAACACGTTCTCATAAGAAAAAAAATTGGGTGAATATCGTTTGTGGACTAACTAAATTAGATTTACAGAAGCTAGCTTTATTTATTTTTAATATTGCTGGCCTTTCACATCAGCACACTATCTCGCGAACGGACGTGAGATGTGTGGTCTATCTCGTAATCTTTTTCAATAAGATAACAGACGATCTTCGCTGGATAATACGATCTTATATAAAAGTTATGTTCGTATATTAGATATATTTGAAAATGATTTTGTATTTTAATTTCGTTTATTTTGTAGCAAAATGATTGTTCGGTGAAAAAATCTATACTATAATATTATAAAGAGGTCAAGTTTGTGAGTGTGTGACGTTGTAGTGGGGTAATTTTTGATCTACTGAACCGATTTAGATGAAATTTGGTAAGAAGATAGTTTGAGACGCTAGGAAGGACATAGGATGATTTTTATCCCGGAAATCATCCCTTAATGGGATGAAAATGGGGATGAAAGTTTGTATTGGGAAGCAAGCTAGTAATTATAATAAAACTGCCTCGGTGGTGTAGTGGCTAGCATGTACGGCTGCACACCCGGAGGTCCTGGGTTCGAGTCCCGGGTCGGGCCAAGTTTAGTTATTGAGTCTTCCTGTATAGTAAGTCTCAGTAACAGCCCGGAGTTGGGAAGTTGGCGGTGTTTCACCCCCGTGCCTCGGAGAGCACGTAAAGCCGTCGGTCCTGCGCCTTAACTCTCACCGGTCGTGTCGAGTGGTCGTCCCACCGGAGTATGAGAGTGATAGGAATAGAGAGTGCACTTGTGTCTGCGCGTACACTTGAGCACTATAATATCTCCTGCGCAGTTGGCTAATCTCATTGAGATTGGCCGCCGTGGCCGGAATCGGCTAGGAGAACATCATAATAAAATTAATATCATAGTTCTATAACTACGTATCGCGTGTCTCGTTAAACTTATGAGATGTAAGTAAATCTGAAGATAAGATATAGATTTTAGCATATCATATAAAAACATAGTATTTTACTGTTAGATTTAATTTTTGTTTACGGACAAATTTTAAAGGCATTGTTATAGAAGGTTAAACAAACTTATATCTAAATAAAAGCTAACTAGAAAAGATGCGGGCGTGCCCGAAATCTATATTGACATTATCAGAGACATGTACCACAATTCCACTTCCGTGGTTAGAACCGCTGTTGGCGATACCGCGCCCTTTCCAATCACTGTAGGGGTCCACCAAGGCTCGGCTCTCAGCCCGTTCTTATTCAACGTAGTACTAGATGTTGTCTCTGCCTGCATCCAGGACCAGCCTCCATGGCTGATGATGTATGCAGATGACATAGCGCTCGTTGATGA